TAATAATAATAATAGTAGTAGTAGTAGTAGTAGTAGTAGTAGTAGTTAATGTTCAGAACAGAAAGATTCTGTTATATTTCTGTATCCTAAGCCTATGGGTTAGAACAGGCATAAGTACAAACCATCACACTGTATTGATATTCATCCTATGGTGGACCATTTTAAAAGTACAGAGCTCTAGTTTTGAAGAAAATATCCACAAAAGCCAGGGCTGATTGGATTTGTTTCCATGAGATAAACTGTACAATGAGATTTTGAACTGCAACGTTATAATCTCATCACTACTCAAGCTCCTTTGAGACTAGGCAGCCTGTACAGATTCTTGGTGCAGAAAAATGTGGGTTTGTGCACAAACACATATATTAGAGTAAATTGACAGCTTTGGAGAAAGCTGAGAGTACTAGGAGGTATTGATTCACTCATTGCCAAATATAACTTGGTAAGAACGCAAGTCACAAATAACAAGGGCGGAGAGCTTTTATTCACGGGAGACTTCCAGCCAATTACTATGGAAAACATGCAGTCTTACCAGGCGCACCAAGCAAAAGCGGAAGTCCTGTTTCCTTTGCACATTATGGTGGCAGGAACATTCAGGTCTTATTTTGGTATCAAAAATCAATCCTGCTTCTTCTGAAACAGAGTTACAATATTATTTAAAACGTATAGGACCTGTAGGTAAATGTCAGGGCAAGGAACAGCCAGCCAGCCATGCCCTTTTCCCAGATACTCTGTTCCATTTCCACCCCCTCAGCCTGTGGTCACTGAACCCTGTGTAGCTCCCCACTGGACTTTATCACTTCTGCTTTGCTTCCACCCCTTAAATATTTTCTTTGAAGTGCGTGTGTGAGCATGGGCATCTATACATCGTGAAGCAGCTAATGACTGCCTCTTGGCTATTTGGGCTACCTAAAGAGGCACATTTGCAGAAGATATTTCCTACCTGCTGTTTATAGTGTGAATCGATATTATTAGCTAATTTCTGGCCTCATTTGATGCAGCACTAAAATATTAGCATTGTAACTGTAATTGAAATCTAGAAGAGGCGAGCTGTGAATCTGTTTATAGATAAGCATCTTTTTTGCTGATACGACACAAAGTCTCTCAGCAAATTATGACTGAGAACATAAAAGAGCTCAGAATCTTTTTTGTAGCATTTAAAAAGAGAGTTGGTGAATAATAATTAGATTACAAATAGGGTTTTAAAGAGTTTTTGCCCAAGGCTTCTTATGCTAAATTAGAGAAACTGTTTTCTTAATGTAATAAGCAACGTGTTGTTTTAAGTTATGAATTAAGCAGGCTCCTTTGATATTTTTAACTTAAATACATCTTCTCACTAGTTCATGAAATTAGGAATACCTCTACTTCAGCCATGTACAATTTATGTGATATCCGCCCAATTCATGCAATGAACTGACACCTTTTTCTAATTTGTGACATAAACAAAACTACCGCCAGGTTTGTGAAACTGAGTGAAACAATCATTTTGCTGGACTTGCAAAGCTGCCATGGCACTGCCCAATGAGTTAAACAAAGATTTTAGTGAATTAAGAGATGGCCTTTCCATCTTCAAAACAGAAAGTCTTGATGCATTAGGCAGAGGGGAGATGAGATGTGACACAGGAGAGATGAAGATTTAAAAAAAGAGATAAGTCATGTGGAAATGGAGTTGTTTTTGCCATAGAGTGGAAAAAGCGTACATATATCACACAGGTACCTGTGAGATTCCTCTCGCTAGGCAAAGAGCAGGTTCTGGGAATGGTTTTGTTTGAAAAGATGGACAGGAAAAAGAATTAAAGCTTTCCTCTACAAAGCCACTGATTTGCAATTTTCAATTACAACCATGGGAGATCCTAATCATGAATCGCCTGCATCATATCTCACTGCATCCAAAGATGTTGCTGATTTTATCAGGCAGAAACCGATCAGTTTCGGAATGCTTCATTAGACAATCTCGCAACTTAAGCAGGGGCTTTGCTTAATTTATGATCCACATAAAGGTGGTGCCTATTTCTCAGATTATGACATTTCTGATCTTGCCGCAGCATTCAGAGGCAGGTGTATGTCCTCTGAAGGCCCTGGCAGAGTCAGGTAATCAAAGTCTGTGGATTAGAGGGTGCATGGAAAACACACCACAAGAAGTAGTGAAGTGTACAGGGAAGCCAGAGGGAGCAGACAAGGAAGCAATCTAATTTAAAATGACGGGCACAGTGGAGGACAAACAAGACAAAGGTCAAGGAAGACCGGATCAGAGCCAGGTGGCGAGGCAGAAGGCAGATCGAGTAAAGCGGGCTACAGGTTGAAAGCAGATCAGCTGGAAAACACAGCTCAAAAGCGCTGGAGCCACCACCGCTGCTGGAGCATCCCTTGTCGAGCCGAGACAAGATTTCCAGTCAGAACTCGCCTCCTGGTGATCACCTGCAAGTCACACTGACTTTGCCTACTAAGTGGCTGGCTGGTGGTTCAGGGGGGTTGTAGGACTGACACCCCGTGAATTAAGGAGAGAGACCTTTCCTGTTGAAGCACAGAGCAGTATTTTGCTTTCTTCCTGCACTGAAACAAGGACATAATTCTGAGCTGCTGTAAGTGCTGAGATGCTTGTCTTTCTAACCGTGCCTTTCGGGACTCTTGCAGAGAGGACTGGGGGGAGAAGGGACCTAACAAGCACCCGGAGGAGTCATGTATGGAATTAATGGTTCCTCACCCAAATTTGTGGGGGCCATGCTTGTCCCCCAGGGACCCCAGGCATGGGACTTATTGCACTGAGTTTGCTCCTCTCAGGGCTCCTCTCCATAGTGCATTAGTTGTGGCCGTTTGCACATGCTTTATGCAATGTCATCCTGGGCCAGCACCTCTCTTGTTCTTTCTGAGCATTGTTTTAGAACAAGGACAGCGAGTATTAAAGGACCGGCATGCTAAAGCAAAGACTTCCAAAGGGTTTTGCATTTTTGCATTTCTGCTATATCACCACACCAATTTGTCATTGTGTGAAGGAATATATAGAAAGGCAGAGAAAAAAAAACCCAGGAAAAAACATGGAAGGAACCAGTCTTGATCTAGAAAGAACCCATAAGCGGAAGCCTTGAAAAAATGGTAGTTTCATAAGGGTTAAAAGCCTAATGCAGAGAAGTCTTCTATTCCCTGTGAATGCTTCTTCTTGCAGGGGTTGCCAGGAGCCTACAAAGTGGACAGAAATAGAACTGTGCATGGTTTTCCAAAGCTGGACAGGCAACCAGCCATAACATGCTTAGTTGGAACATCCACACACTACATACTGTACAAAGTAATAGTGAGAATGTCTTTAAAGTTGTTTAACAGTTGGTCCCAAATGCACCCACACTTGAGAAAAAGAAAAACAGCAAATCTCAAAATGTAATTCTGTGCACAGTTGGGAGACTCCGCTATTCCTGGCTGCTTTGTTTTCCATCTGATCAGCAGACATATGGAAAACCATTCGAACACGACAGCTTGAATTCTGAAATACAATGCATGACGCATTTTAAAAGGGCCTTAAAATACTGCTTAAAGAACAACAGTATTATGCCAGAAGAAACTGGTAAGCAAAAGAAAATCAGGAACTAAAGTAAGATATAGGAATCTTGAAGCAAAATTGTGGAAGAAACACTCCACATGTTTTCAGTCAGACTCCTGAACAGTAATGGAAGTGACTGGATTCAGAACTAAAATATTCAGATAATTAAAATTACCCAAATCTGGGGACAGAATTTGATCTCTCCTGTAAATGCTTTGGGATTTCCTTGCCCAAATTTCTAGTTTTGCCATAAATGCTAGAATTTTGTTACCAAACCCCACATTTTTATCTGAAATTCAAGAAATTCAGCTTGTAAATATGTACATGAGCTTTAGGTTTCCATTGCTGGTCACTGTTAAAGAATCCCCTGGTGATGCATTATGAAAGAATCAGGGTCAGGATAATGGGGACACACCAACACTGCAACCTCTTGTGGTTTCCCCACATTTGGGACCTGCATGCTTTTAGGGAGTTGTCTGGAAGGGAAACATGAGAAGCTCTGTACAGAAATCAGGAAATTATACACGGTTCAGTGCTTTACTGTCCTGTTATCTGACTAGGCCTTTTAGGGGCCCTCCCTTATAGAATCACCTCAAGGAAAAAATATCAAGACACCCAGTGCAGTTTCCCGTATTTTATACTTCCAAAATCCTTATGTACACTTAGGACTTTTAAAGTTCGTTACTGTGCCAGTCTGTCTGGTTTAGCTTAAAAGAAAAAGATCATCCCTGGCAAATTGGTTTATAGAACGGAAATCACAAAGGGGCAATTTCTGGGTGACAACAGCTCATGGGTTAAACAAACTATGGGCTGTCAGGGACAAGCAGAGTTCACTGCTTCCTCTGACCACCATTGCTACAGCTTCAGATGACATGTTCAACAACCTACGAACAAGCCATGAACAAAAAATGATAGGTTGTTGAGTAAATATTGTACTGCTTAAGTGTACCGCTTTAATGTATTATTGTATTTCTATGGAATAGGTACTTCTTTTTTTCTATTGTAAGATGCCCAGAGAGCCCTATGGGCTAAGGGGCAGCATCCAAATAAAATTAAAAGTTGAAGTGGTGGTGACATGGGAGACAATATACTTGCCCGCTCCTGCTTGTGCACGAGAAGCCATGGCTTGTTCAAATCATGGGTTGCTCTTATGTGTGAACCAGGACACTCTAGCATGGTTTTTTTCTTTCTTAATTAGGAAAACCCTGGACACCAAGGAAAGAACAATGCACGGTAGGGAAAACCTTTCACAGGTAGCTTATTTTGAATAGAGAATTATGCAGCAGCCAATTGAATCACACTGACTAATGAGTCCTGAAAAGTACAATATGTAGTTTTCTTCACCGACAAAATCTATAAAAACTTAAAATGATGAAGGGTGACTGAGCGACTCTGTTTCATTTATCAAAATAACAGGAATTCTACATATCGATTCACCATGGTATATTTCAGTTCAACCAAGTATTGTGTGTGTGTGTTCATCCACCTATGCAGCACCCACACAAGGACAATTCACCATCGTTCCACTTGACTGTTATAATCCTCAGTCACAGCCATTTCTTCCATTTCTTCCTTTTGCCACTCGTGGCCCTTCTGCTCATGCAGCATTTTTCGTTCCTCCCGTCGTTTTTGGCGGTTTCGTTCGTGCTCTTCTTCCTTCGCGTACTGAAAGCGCTGCAGAAATAGGTCTTTAGCGTATTCATATAGCTGCATATCCAGGAAGTTCAGTTCTTCTATGTGCTTCCGGACTGACTCACTGATATCCACGTTAGAGGCTCGGGTGATATTATACTGAGTGAAAGGTGAAATAAACTGCAGATTAAATGTTCTCTCAAAGAGATACTGTGTTTTTCTCTGAAATTCGGTGAGTCCAAAGAAGGCCATGTTTTTCAGATTGTTCTTGGCGCTTTGGAGGAGAATCGTATTTCTTTCACTCTCGTTCATAAAGGTCAAATTGTAACATCCCACCAGGCTGAGATCGGCCAGCATGCGCACCTGGCGGTTGCTGGCCAGGTTGTGGCTGCAGTTCATGAACTCTTGCAAGCTGACCCCGGACCAGTCGTCTCCCAGGTAGCACATCGGCAGCTCCTCTGGCGTGGGGCTCCTCCCATCGCACATGTGAAGAGAAGTTTTCCAGGTTGCACCTCTTTGGACATGTTTCCATTCACTCAAGTAACGCGACACTGGGTCCCTTAACATTGTGATGTAGTAGAAGTTCCTGAAAGATTTAAAGGGACATATTAGCAGAGAGTTGTCCATTGTTTTGTTCCACATTAGATTATTGGGTCATTCTGGCTCAGACAACCTGTCCTAAAGGAATACTGATTTTGGCTAGAGATTTCTGATATGTACACCTTTATAAGATCCAAATTAGACGTGATAGTGTGAGGTTACTGAGAGTGGGCATCTTTTTTGAGGTTTCATAGCATAATGGCAAACACCTACCCCAAAATTTGAGCATGAAGGTTGTGCTTACATGATATAAATGTTGCTTGTGCATGTGAAAGAGGGAACATGGGGGATACAGGAATCAACTTCTTGTAACAAATATTTTGGAAATTCTCATCTAGCTTTTAATGTCCAAGCTGGGACAAAGTTCTAGTCACAGTCCTAGTTCATGACACATTTGTTTTCATGATTGTCTGCCTGATCTTAGGTTCTGTCTTTCCTAAATAAATCTCAGTGTAGGAAAGGAATATGTGTTTTTGTATTACTTTATTCAGAAGCTCTTGCATCCAGAACCTACAGCAACCTAAACAAATGACAGATTTAATATACTGTAGCAAACAGCAGAAGTAAAGAGTACAAATTGGAATGCTGTTGGGGTAAATAAGAAATGTATCATCATGTGTTGGATCTCTGTGAAGATGCTATCATGTTTAACCTGTCTCACAATAAAGCACGCATAACCATTAAACCTTCTCTAAATCTTTCAATAGTTGCAGAATATGAAAAACTGGCGTACTACTGACAAATAGCTACAGATGGCCACAAATACTAAATCGTAGGCCCCTATTTCATGGTTCCCAATCATCTTTTCCTACCCATATATTTGCTTGGGGGCACAGACTACTTTGAAAAAGAAATCTAGATTAAATCAGCTCAAATTCAAGCATTCGGCATAAATGTAGTTTTGGGATGCACCACCTGTGCCTGAAAGTTGTCTACTAACAGAAAAAGCCGTTTGTGTGAATTGCTCCAATCCTTCTCCATCAATACCCCTTTCGCAAAATCACACAACCAGAGAACTTTCTTTCACGATGTAGTATACAAACGTGAACTCCAGGAGAGGAAAGTGCCCATTCGGGCAACTTGGTTAGTGATCTAAGCCAGGTTTTTTAGGCTGCAATCCTGCAGACACTTACTTGTTTTTAAGTATAAATAAGAATAAACCCAACAAATAGTGTCAGCTTACATTAGTGGCACACTGTGTCAGGTCACATGCTAGTAATACAATGGTATAGAGTATCATTGTATAGAGACCACCAGTTTTTCCACTGGAACAATTACAGTGGTACCTTGGCTCATGAACATAATATGTTCCGCAATTCTGGTCACGAGCCAAATTGGTCGCGAGCCAAGTCAAATTTCCCCATAAGGTTCAATGTAAATAAGGCTAATTCATTCTGTAAATATTTTTATCACAAAAATTTGAAACAAAATAACAAAGAGCAAAAAAGAAATAAAGTACGGTACAGTAGAGAACACTAACCTAGGTGGGGGGGTATTGTTTGGAGGGAGAGTCCAAAGGATAATCATGCGATAGCAATTATGCTCGGGGGCGGGGAGGGAGATGGCCATGATCACGATCGTGCTCAGCGTGGGAAAGACGGATGCAATGGCAATCATGCTCGTGTGGAAACGTGTCCACGATCGTGGTCATCACCCGATGCGGAGTTCGCGAACTGAGGCAAATTCTTCTGAAATTTCTGCTCATGACCCAATTTGGTCATGAACTGAAGCCTTTGTGAGCCGAGGTACCACTGTACTTCTGAGTAGACACACATATTGGAGTTCCATAGTTACTCCAGTAGTTTAACCAGCAAAGAAAGAAAACTTGTGGCAGACGTGGGTCTCAGATGAATCTGAGAGATCTTTTGTACCTATTTTAAGGACACAAAGAATAATAATGCCAGGGAGGCATTACTAGAAGGAAGAAACAGCCAATCCCTCCAACTGGCTGCTGCTTGAGAACCCACGAAGAGCCGTGTCAGATCAAAGCAAGGCTGCTTCCGCTGCATGGCCTGTTCTCACAGCGGCCGGCCAACTGCTCAGAGGAAACCGATGGCATGCGTGCAACAGCATCCTTCCACCCATGTGCCCCAGCCACTGGTGCAAACATGCATACTGCCTCTGAGGCTGGAAGTGGCATGCTGCCATCCAGACTTGTAGCCACGGATAGCTTTCTCCTCCATGAAGGTGCCCAATCCCCCTTTAAAGCCATCCAAACTGGTGGCCATATATTGTGGAAATGAATTTCGTAGTTTAAGAATGTTCTGTGTGAACAATGACCACCTTTTATCTGACCTGACTCTCCCACTATTTGGTTTTATAAGATGGCCCCACGATCTAGTTTCATGAGAAAGGGAGAATATTGTCTCCTTATCCACTTTCTCCATACCATGCATATTTGTACAACCGGCTACAATGCCTCCCTTTATTTGCTCTGTTTTCTAAGCTATACAATCCCAGCTCTTGTAACCTTTCCTTGCTGGGGAATTGCTCTAGTCCCTGGATCTGCACTCTTTCCAGCAAAGCAACATAGTTTTAGGGCAGTGAATACAAGTTTAGCCTTCCAAGTGTGCTAACACCATACATTTGTGTAACAGCAGCATGGTATTGGCAGTTGCTTTTCTAATCACCCAGCATGGGACTTAACTTTTTCACACAAACTGCACACTGTCTTGTCATTTTCCTTGTGCAATACACAACATCCCCAAGGCTCAGATCCCATCCGTAGATATGTGAAGCTGGGCTCTTCTTGCCCCAATCTGCTTCACTTCACACATCTTTACTCTAGGTACAGAAAGATCCAGAGAGAAGTCGAGGCTGCTTTTCTTCCTTGCAGACAATACTTGGAAGGATGCTTTAGTTACAGATTTCCAAAGTTGTGGCTAAGCTTTGTAGAATTTTTTTCTGCTTACTTCTTACAAAATCCTTTAATGGTTTTATTTGTCAGTGTTTATAATTAGATCACAATGTATTGTTTTTAGTCAATTAGTTTTTAGTTAACTCAAGCATGTAAACAACAAGAATCAGCCCAGAAATCCTGTCTTCTTTTTAAAAGTTGCATGCTCTTTCACGTCCAGAGAGGTAGCTCTTGCAGCAAAAACAAATGGAAGAATCATGGCACTGTGAAGACTAACACGTATGTTCTTAGTGACTATAGTCCAGTTCATCAGATACACAGACTGTTAATAATCATCCATGCATTTGGTGAAGCATCCTTAAAGTTCTTGGAAACTTCAATCATTCAGAATACATCGGTTAGTCCTTAAGTGTCACAAGACAATCTCCTGAGGTTGTTTTATGAGACTATTGTTTCTTTATTTATTTTTGTCAGCCACTTTGTACCAATTAATAGGCTACAAATTTAATAAAGCCTTACAAATTGTAACAGAAATAAATTATAGTGCAACACTGTTTCTAAAAACTCTTTTGCACTTTGTTTTTTATGCAGATGGTGAACTCTGCATACACTAGCCCATTAGTGAGATGTAAAAGCAGTTATCTATGCATGCTACCATAGTGACTCACAACTCTGAAATAATGTATAAAATGGTCCTGGCAACAGAAAACTCTGCAAGTCTTGTGGGTTTTTAAGAATTTGTGGATTATACAAGAAGGAGGGAGAGGGAGAGGTGGGGAGAGAGAGAGATGCAAAGGGCCAAGCCTTACAAAAACTAGACAGCAAAGAAGGAAACTTCTAATTAAGAGCGCAATTTCTTGCATGCAGCTAAGTATAGCACACTCGAGGGAGTCTGTTAACTCCTCTTAAAGCATCAATTTTTGGCAAAAATTGCAAATGATACCACACTACTGGCAGAGAGCAGCAATGAAGTGAAACGACCCCTGATGAAAGTGAACGAAGGAAGTGCAAAAGCAGGACTGCAGCTGAATAGTGAGAAAACAAAAATCCTGACTACAGAAGAAGTAAAGAACTTGACTGCCCACAATGGAGAAATTAAAATTGTGAAAGTTTTAGCATGTCTTGGCTTATGTCATCAATTCAAACAGAGACTGCCGCCAAGAAAGTGGAAGAAAACTGACACATAGAAGGGCAGTGATAAAGGAATTAGGAAAGATAATCAAGTATAAGGATGTTTCACTGGAATTCAAGGCCAATACCATCCACACAATGGTATGCATGACCACTGTGTGAAACCTGATCAGTGAAGAAAGCTGATAGGGAAAGTGATGCATTCGAAACATGGTGCTTGAGGAGAGTCTAGCAAATACCCTGGGCTGACAGAAAGACTAACAAGTGGGTCCGAACCCTGAGCCAGAAGTTGCTCTGGAAGCAAAAATAAGGAAACGGAGGCTGTCGTACTTTGGGCATGTCATGAGAAGGCAAGACTCACTGGAGAAGACACGAATGCTAGGGTAAGTTGCAGGAAAAGGAGAAAAGGAAGACCAACTATGACACTGCAAGAGCAAGGACAGGGCAGTTTGAAGACAGAGGTCAGAGATGACTTGACAGCATGCAGCAATAACGATGCCAAACAAGAAAGAAAGGAAATTCACACAAAATTCAAGAAAATCCACACAAAAACTTCATGCAACAGTTAACTTATTTGTACTACTATGGAAAAGTTGAGAGAGAGAGAGAGAGAGAGAGAGAGAGAGAGAGAGAGAGAGAGAGAGAGAGAGAGAGAGAGAGAGAGAGAGAGATCCAAAGGCATGGCTAGAAGGGAGTCTATTTATTCCACTTTTGTGTTGGTTTTTATTTGATTGACTTCTGCTAAGATAGTACTGTCATGGGAAAATACAGCACCAACTTGTGATAAATGAATAACACATTTTGTTGCATGTAGTAACAATGTCCAAAGTAACTAAACACACTGCTTAAAGATATTTTAATTTAGAGGATTTGTTTTTCAAACAAATATATTTTGGTCTTTTGGGAACTAGAGAACGCTGTAAATTCATATGCGGTGTGCTTTGAAATGTTACTTTCTATTAAAGGAGAAAAAAGAGAGATTCTAGAAGAC